GTAAAAAGCTTAGGTACCGTAAAATGGGATGACTCCGGACGGATTTGAAAGTGTTTTTTTTTTAAATTTACCTCAATATATTGTTTCTAAAATTATGAAAAAATACATATTATACCATGTTCTTTAAGTTTATTGAAATCATATAGCAGAAGAATAATCATTAAGGTCATTTAAGTTCACACTTTTTTTCACGTTTTTAGATTCCATTAAAAACCGATGTTATAATAATTACAATGGTTGACTTCGGACAATATTTAGATATTTCAAAAAAAAATGTAATATATTGAAATAAAAAAAACATATATTTATCGCAAATACAACATAATTTATTTAATATTCTAAAAAAATAATTCTTTACTTTTTTGTAAAAATGTCAACTTAAAATGTATTTTTTACTTTTCTGTTTTTACTTGTCGTACTGTAATTTGTTTTATATCTATCAGCATCCTACCTAGTTGATGTGTACCTTCCAACACTTTGAACTATGAGTAAATATTAAATGAAATGTTAGCGCCTAATATTTTACGGTATCCTTATAGGGCTTAAACTTTGCTCAACAATTGTAATAATTCCACCAAGTTTACCGGCCTAGACCGATTAGTTTTGAATGCATTTATCTAGATAGGTAGTTGTCCAAAGTCCGACATGATATATATTTTATAAGACCAGTCTTCCACTGGGTCCGGGCCGACAGAGATCACCGACGGGCACCATCCTCAGACTTAGCAGGAGTTGACCTTCAACATTATTATTATTACCTAATGTGATATATTCATATATACAGGGTGATTTTTTTATCGAAGAACACTCATTATTTCAAAAAGTATTAATGGTTAAGAAAATATTTTTTTACATAGTTTCAAGTTGTTAAAAACAATATTTTTATTAAAAAATTATATTTTTAAATATTTTTTATCCTTTTAATTTTTTAAGTTTTTTACTTTTTTGAATGACAACATCTAATTTTAATTTGATATTCAAAAACAGAATAATTTTCTGAGTATTTCGATACATAAAAATTGAATTTAGGGCAATTAGTTTATGAGTTATAAGTATTTAAAGTTTAGATGAGCGGAGTAGAGTGGTACGGGGTTACCCCGCGAAATGTTTGTCCTCTACTCCGCTCATCTAAACTTTAAATACTTATAACTCATAAACTACTTGCCCTAAATTCAATTTTTATGTATTAAAATAATCAGAAAAATATTCTGTTTTTGAATATCAAATTAAAATTAGATGTTGTCATTCAAAAAAGTAAAAAACTTAAAAAATTAAAAGGATAAAAAATATTTAAAAATATAATTTTTTAATAAAAATATTGTTTTTTAACAACTTGAAACTATGTAAAAAAATATTTTCTTAAACATTAATACTTTTGAAATAATGAGTGTTCTTCGATAAAAAAATCACCCTGTATATATATATATAGGTACCTATAGTATGAAATCCGTAAGGAGCTGCGCACTGTGTTATTCGATAGATTTTCCAAACGATTGATTGTAAATTATAAATTTATAACGCAGATGCGTATGCAAATTGTCGATATTCTTGCAACGAACCTTCTTCTGTCTGCGTATAACTCCTATATATATGTATGTAGAAATTCACGTCACTTCCACATTAATAGCACTTTGAATATTCTCGTAATTATTGGCCATACGATTTGTATTAATTAAAAAAGTAAACACAGACTTATTCATATAGGTAATAGAATAAAAATGTTAACGACCATATTAACGGCCGAATGAAAATCGCTGCGTAGACCGCATAGTGTACCGGAAACGGCGGCCGGTAGACGTAGACCGCATATTGTTAAAACGGCCTCCAAATAAATAAAAACTTAAGGATTCGATACCGGTATTTTCTGTTTTAGTCACACGAGGGACATACAAATAAAGAAACATGTATTTTTTCGTTTTAACGAAATTCGATGTCATCGATCCATAATCGTTAAAAAACCCCGTGTACAATGACATAAGATACACCCTGTATATCAGGGGTCACCAACTTGCGGACCTCATTTTTTACGGACCCTAATGGCTGGGTAATTATAAAATATATATAATTTTTTTAATAAAATGAAGAAAAAAGATATTTTCAGTATGGTATACATATAATATATTTCCATAGGAGAACAATTAATTCCGAGAAGTTGACCGATAGGCACGTCAGATGTTCGTACCGCTACGTTGTCGTATGTCAAAAAAACGATAGCTATGAATTTCCAAAGTACTATTTTATTACTATTACAATAGTATGATAGTTATTAATTGTTAATGTGTGAAAAAGTCATTGGGTATTTAAACGTTTTGGACCGTGGGGAGTTTGGTAAGTTTCAAAACGGACCCCGTTAATATTATATTCATTAAGTGTAATCACAAAATATACAGCTTGCTGTTATCGACAAAGTACCTACCTGGTGGCTAGCATTCCAATATTGTTATTTCTGTTACATCAAAAAAAGTTTTGTTTCTCAGAAACGGCACTGTTTTATTACTAATACAAAACAAATCGAACTAAATTACTTAAAGAATAACAAAATCGTATTGGTCAAGCAGAAATTTAGTATGGTAAGACAGAAATCAGAAACAATTTACAAATACGGTTAGAACACCATTTAAACCTTTAATTGAAATTATTGATGTTAAAAAAATATTTTTTCACATTGCAGAATCACTGTTTGATTTACACATATCGCAGAAACATAAATACAAAATACAAAATATATGTATATTATTTTAGTTTGAATAATTCATAAGGTATAAAGTAAAAAACTTGTATTTCTACTTCTCATATGCCTTTCCTTAAATTCTATTAAAATACATAGGTACAATCACATAATAATATATGTATATAAATACATATTTATATATTAATAAAAATTCCTTTAGAATTAAATAGCATAATTCCATTGAAACAAAATTCTTTAAATACATTGACAAGAAATATTTTTATTATAATAAATAATCATAAATCATCACACATTAAGATTTATTGGGTTCTGAAAAGGTATCTCTCATCTATAAAAGGCTACGTGACTATGTATAACATTTCAATTAATATAATATTAAGATGGAGCAAAAAAAAAAAAAATTATAATAATTCGTTCTAAAGTATAAAGCAGTATTGCAGACTTAATTAAACATACATAATTATAAACAGATAAAAAATGCATTATATACTATTTAAGATAATATTGGGTTTGGATTGCTTCATAAAAAGTATGATTTGAAAAACTAAATTAATGTATTTAAATTTTTATTGAAAAATAATAATTATAGGAACATGCATCATTTTTATGTCGAAGAAAAAAAAATTTTTTTTTTAAATTATAATTTAAGGCAGCCAAACCAAAATGTAAAGCTTAAATGATATAATTAACAGTCATCTCAATGGCAGTGATAATTTACATAATTAATCATTGATAATTTTACATAAGAGAACATAGATTATTTGAATATAAGATATTTCAAATAGTTACTGTATTTGTACTTAAAAAACCTGTCATATAAAAAATATTCCTTCATAGAAAAAAAATATATAATTATTTATTATAAATATTTATAGAACGAGCTTAATATGTATGGCAAAAAAATTGTACTTGAATGTAATTATTTGTAAAGAAAAATATCAAAATATCATCACAAATTTAAATATGATTCTTAAGAATAATTACTAAAAATGGACGAGAGTATATCTTTATGACATTTCCCAAGATGTTAAAAATATCAATGTTATGGGAAATAAAATTCAAAACAATAAAAAACTCATTAAAAAAAAAAAAATTTCGAGATCTACAACACAATTTCAAACCCATAGAATGTATGAACAAAACACTAGAACATTTTATAATAACTACCCATAAAAAATGTCACTTATTTTTAAAGTTCTTAAATGCCATGACCTTAAAACCACTACCAGAAATAATCGTTTTCACGTTTTGGACACATGTTTCAGTCTTAACGCATACAATTCTTTACATCGATTAAAATTAAAAATATTTTCATAGGTCAAAATTACACTAAATATATCTACATGATACTAGATAACCCATCAATATAGGTATAAACAATTTAATTACACCCTTAAATCATAAACAATTTGTTCTATTTAAATTTATTACATTAATTTTATATGAAATAAATGTATCAATAATGGGATTATGTATTTCCATTAATCAATGATTAAATACCTATTCAATTCGGTTAACTATTTTTAAATAAAAATCAGAAAATTACACGACTATGGGATGGGTTGAGGACCAGTAAAATGTGATATGGTAATTTCACCCAAAAAGTTACCATAGCTATTGCGCCAATATCACTAAACTATAAATATGAACACAAGTTACGTTAAAAAATATATAATAATAATAATAATAATAATAATAAATACAACTTGTTCTTTTTTTACACTCGCTTGATTTTTTTAATATATACTTAAAACCTTGTGCGACCATACACATTCACTAGCTTATGAAAGTAATTAATAAGTAGTAGGAAATTATTATAGGCATACAATTTGTGACAAATGCGAACAATTGATATAGTCATAATTTTTAAAAACAATACCCAAAACTCAGAGTTTTCAGAATAAACTAAAATGTGTTTGGATAATGTATAATAATGGTATAAAACTGAGCCAAGTCCGATGTATTTTTATTAATACACGTTAGTATATAGGAATCATATTTGTATCAACTAATTATTGCCAACATTCCATCAAGAATATAATATTGATTATAACAATACAAATTTAATACAACTCTCATCACAATAGCTATGAATAGGAAATTAATAATCAAATCAGGAACGTTGATAATAACAGTCAAATACCAGGTTTGGTAATAGTAACAGAATACAGATGCATAACAGCTTACACAATCATCATTAAAATTTTGTTATTAAAATGTAATAACATTTTATTTTCCTTCTATGGGAATTTGAAATGTACTTTAGTTGAAAAATATTGTTATGTTTATGATTATATAGAATAATATACTAATCCCATCTAATTAAAAATTCTTCTGACCCATCTGGGTTAGTTCTTTTACATAATATAGTATATTCTTCACCATTAGCAATTCTATTACTAGCACCGAAATACGAATGTACAAGAGTTTTAAGATCAGCTGTAGAGTCTACAGCATTCTCAGGTGAACAAGGTCTATTTACAGAGTGACTGTGATTTGCAAAGAAATCTGAATAAGATTTATACATTGGACGACCATTGCAGTTGGTCTTAGACTGGCGTTTTGTCGGAGTCAAACCGCTATTCTGTAAGCCATTTCGACGTAACCTCTTGCGTTTAACTAAATACTGTCCATTACGATCAACACGCAAATCTTTTTCACTTAAACGTCGTTTGGTAGTGCGAACTTGAGGTTGAGTAATTACAGGTGCTAAAGAAAGTGGCAAAGTAATTGATGAAGCAGAACGAGTCTCACGAGGAAGCGATGATCTAGCAAGTGGTCGTCCATTTAATAAACGGTTGACACTAAGTCGAAGTCTCTGACTACGGCGGCTTTGAAGGTCCGTTGTACGCAACGAATCAATATCATCTTCATCATCAAGGTCTTCATCATCATCTGGTTCATCATCACTAGTCAGTTCTCCTTCAGATGCCGATATATATTTTTCTGGAGTACTCTCAGTTGAACTGAGATCGAACGGTGATCGACTTTCAGGAACTTTTTCTTTTTTTATTGATTTCTAAAATTTAAATAAAATAAAATTGAGTCAAACAAAAACTTAAATAAATATTACTTTAACTTTATTAGTAACGACACTCGAACTTCGAGAACTTCGTTTATTTGTCTCTATTTGTTGTTGCCTAATCCGTCTTTCAATTACAGATCTTGGAACAGGTACAATTGGACTGGCACTTTTAATACATACCTACAACACAAATATAAGAATTTAAAAAAAAATCAAACCAAACCATAATAGTAGGTATCTAAAACTATGTCAATTAACATAAATATACAATTATTATTATTTATTAGATATTACCAATAGTGATATTATATTAATGTTATTTTAGGAGCACATATCGATAATAAGTGCAAGTTATTTAAATGTTTAGTTAAAAAGATCATACAAAATAACATAAATAATAAAAAAAAAAAACTACTGCAATTTTGATATGTACACAAAAAAGATAGGCAATACTAAAAATACATAATTCAAAATTTGTATTCATAAGTGTTTGAAAGTCAAATATTGACTAAACTGGATATTTAAAAAAAAAAAATTTAATCATTACATGTTGCCATTCAAAAAATATTAATCTTAATGAATTGAAGCTTGTACGTACATTATTATTTTCTATAGACAATGACATTATTAAAATATTTTGAATAATTTCAAGCTATTTATATCATGAGCCTTTTCATACAACCTGCCTTACAATATGTCGGACAAGATATAAAATGTTCTATGTAGAATGACAGATCAACATAGCAAATTAACTTATATAATTTTTTTACAATGAAAATAAAAATAATCAATACTTACATTATGTCCAATTGATGGAAGGCCTTTTGGTAACATAACAACATGTGAATCTTGATGTAAAAATTTCAATCCTTCTACTGAATACATTGACTCGGTAAGTCGTTCATTTATTACAAGATCAGTCCTAAGATAATTTAAATTAAATGTATTATGAAGTTAAACCTATGCTTAGTATCAAACTAAATATTTTCAAAAAAAATCAAAACTTTTAGATTCAATTTAAATAGTGATGATTTGTATGAAACATTAATATAAAAACTGTGCTTTTTAATTAAACATTTTATTAAACTTAATTTTTAATAAGGTAAATAAAAGTTAAAGGAACAGATAAGGTGACGGTATTATCAGAGACCATCGCCCCCTTGAAATTCTTACAGAATATAATTTAAGAAATAAAGATATTGTATCAGTTTTTTTTTAGATGAATTAAAATAGAATTTGATATTATTAATAAGTTCTACAAATTAATTACTGAACATTTAAAAAAAAATTAATTCAACTGATTTTTTGATTAGTTAAAATTAAAGTAGGATATACGACTTTTACGATATTAAAATACTTACTTTTTTGGAGGTGGTAATATACTGAGGTTAAGTTTATTGCGCAATTGATGATGCAAAAGATTCTCATTAATTGGAACTTCTGCGGGTAACGTAAAACGTGGGGGCTTAGGTGGCAACTTCAGTCGGAGTCCCCACATATTGGTGGGTTTTTTACCCTGGAATTCAAACCTACTGTAAAGCAGACAAATATAAATAGTTAAATTTAAATATTATATAAGATAAGATGCAAAGCAATTAATAATATATATTATAGTTTAGTTTGCTTTATATTTTTTTTAAAACTGAAACATACTATGACATAATGTGTTAATTGATAATTCAAATTATATACTAACTGATTGGTGTCTTTGAGCAGGGAATTGACAACATAAACTTTCCTGTCATCAACAGGAACATTAAGAATCTGTAAACAATTATAATAACAATATAATATTAGCATAATACATTTTTAAAAATTATTTATATAAACATAATGTATTCTTAACCTATAACTATGGTTAAATCTATCAACAATTTTTAGAGATACTGTAAAATCAGATCAGTGAAACATGTGATAAACTCAAATATTTGTTTTATAAATTATTAGTGTTGAATAATTAACTGATCTGAAAAGAATTATCAATAAGAGCAATATCAAAGCATATTATCCTGGAGCTTACTTGATAACTCTATATCATATTACATGCAATATGGATACATTTCCAAAATACAAATAGCTTTATTTAAAACACTCAAGTTAAAAAAATTAGTTCCACATTTTAATGCAGCAATGTGATGAAAAACTATAATTTAATTATGAATACGTTTCAAAATTACTGGAAATTACTTATAAAGGTTTGATCAATATAACTGATTAAATTGCAGTACATGTCTATGAATTAAACATTATGTTTTATATAAAATATATTACATAGGTACTACGGCTGGTACCGAATTGGTTCCCGAGCCCCAACCCCACTTGCCGAATTGGTTCCCTTTTGAAAAAAGTATTTTATTAAGGTAAACTGAATTGGTTCCCATTTAAAAAAGGTATTTTATTAAGTTGAACCGAATTGGTTCCCGTTTAACTACACACATTTTCGTTTTCAATTTCACAGGCTTAGGACTGTCAACTTTAAAGTATAGGCTTGGTTAAAAATGTGCGTTGATGTGTTAAAAAAAAAGATATAATATATAAAATGTAAAAACATTGATTTGAAAGTCTATTAGTCATCACTTAGGTTAGATATACCATACAGCGATATAACTAAATATATCTCAATCGTTATCTTAATCGATAATCTATAGAAATAAGTAATTTATTACCATTTAACATTTTATTGTACATAATATAGAGTATAGACTATACTACCTAGTATACTGACTATAGATTATAGGAACATTTATATTTTGTACCAATTATAAAAAATTAAAAATTAAAATTGTAACTATTTTACTTGAACACAAAAGGGAACCTATTCGGCTAAGCCCGGTACTAAGTAGTAAAAAATGGGTCATATGTATAACAGATAAAGAAATTTTAGTTATGGTTTTACTAATTTTTTTTATAAGTTTATATCAAAATAACTGGTTTTATGAGCAGAAATTACAAAAATATTTACTAGGAAAAATAAAACATACTTTAGGAGGTAGATACATTGAAGTCCAATGATTATCTAAGTATGGAAGTATATTTATGTCCACATCATAATATTTCTGTGGTTTATAAGCAGTCATATTAAAAAGGGCAAGATGAACTAAATCCGACCATTCCATTTCAATACGACGTACAAACTCTGTACCTACATTGCACACTGAACACAAAAAGACATAGAACCTGAAACAAAAATATTTAAAGGCAATAATTAAAATGTAATAAGATTGTATGAATTGTTCAGCCAATAAAAAGGGAGATAATATAAACTAATAAAGCAAAAATTTAGATGATCAACAATTACTATTACTTACTTAATAAAAATTAATGTTTGACATATTTTTTAATATATTTAACTACTGTCAATTTATGACTGTAAATACTAAATAATAATGTGTTTAAAAAAAAAGTTAATATTAACAATCTAGTGAAACAAACCATAAACACAATACTTAAATTAAGTTTAATTCAAATAGAGAATTGTATTATATTAACATAACATAAAATAACTATACTATATTTTAAAAGAGAATATTGGGGAGAATATACTGCTTTCAGCTCATTGTGAACCATATACAGCCAGTTCCAATTAGCAAACTATAATATGCATGTTTACTCTCGGGCTAACCATTTACATACAATTTATTTGAAATCGGTGTATATTTTGATCGTCGACCGTTGTGAACAAGGGAAGAAGAAATTGGGCTCGAGACGGCCACTAGCCATCAGTAGCGATGCGAGAAATTAGTATAATATTCTTTTTTGAAATAGAGTATAGTTAACAGTGGCGTACCTAGGTCTTTCTTCCAAGGGGGGGGGGGGGGAGAATCCACAGGCACGCCACTGATATTTAATAAACAGAACATTAATTAAATATAAAGGTAATATCAAACTAATTTTCAATTTTCTTTAGATTTGTTCTCCACTAATAATTTTATTTAAATAGACTATTTTAGCTTACCTATCGCCAAGATACAGAGGATATATCAATGAAGTGACACATTTTTCATGAAACCATTGTAAACATTTACCACATTGCAGCATATTGATGAACCAGTCACCAGGTCCTCCACAATAGCAATAGGTTCCTAAATTGTTAATACGGTGATGTATATCCCATTGTAAAGCATTCAACTAAAAAAAAAATAATTAATTTAAATAAAGATATTAAGTTGATTAATAAGGCTCGGATTTCAATGTATTTGCATATTTTTTTTAATGCTTGACTCAATGTAAGTTTAACATTTATTCTAACGTTTTTAATGTGTTTCTCAATTTATTAGTATTTTTTACCAATTTATTGTAGACGTAGTGACAAAAAAAGGCACAAGATTGAAACATATATATTCTTTCAAGTTAGTACTATAATAACATCAGGTTATTTAGTTAATTTAGGATCTAACCAATTAGTTGATTATATACAACTCTTATTGAAGACATCCCATATAGCACATACTAATATGTTAACTGAACACAGTACATGTTTCTTTGCTCAGTATTACATGTTTTGTAAGTAGAATTTTCTTATCATGCATAATAGTGTAACAGTAGTGTATGTGATGTGGTCGTTATCGGATACCTTTACATTTGTGTTGTTTCACAGTGTTTACATTTTTTTTTTCCATACACAGGATATTGAACTAAAATTTTACGAGGAAACGTAAGTAAAGTAAGATATTTTTTTCACTGATTTTGTTTTATTTACTTATAGTTTTAATAAAATTACATGTTAAACACATACTTTTATTGCACAATTATAATACTTATTTATTTCATCAATATATCATATTTGTTATTTGAAATAAAAAATAAGATTATTTTAAGTAAATTTATTTTCTAAAGTATTTTTTGATATGGCATTTTTGGAGTTTATAGGTCATAAATGTATTTTTCAAAAGGATATTTAAATCCAAGCACTGTCGATTACCAATAAAAATTTAGAATAGTAAAAGTACAGAAAACATACATCATAAGGTAGTTTAACAACTTTTGGAACAATTGTGCTTGATACAGAATTTGTAATTTGCAGTCTATTAATCTGTTGTTTTTCTTTACATTGAAAACATATCCATACAGTAATATCTGTAACTTCAACTTCCGGCTGCAAAAAATAAAACCATTATTTTTATAAATACATATTTAAACGGTTAGTATAAATATAAATTGCATTAGAATAAAAATATGTTATAACTTATATATAATATGTAATAAATATTAATTATACATAATAACAATTTAATAGAACACTCAATATTCCACACATAGAAAAACCAATAAATAAATAATTACCAAAGAACTTTTTATTTTAATAAGACAATTATTTTATTTTATTTAACTATAAAAAGAAGAGCATTCGTTTAATAGTATTAATACAAATCAGAACTGGAGCAGTAAGTGTTAAGACAAGTAATAAAAATTGATGTCACTGACAGAACGCAACATAGATATTACAATATATAAGACATAAAACGTATAGTATTATTAATCCATATTGTTAGTCAAGTTATATTAATTGTATGATATAAGGCAGCGGTTCCCAAACTTTTTTAGCTCACAGCGCCCTTTTTGAACTAAACTTTTCTCAAGGCGCCCTTCCCAAGACATACCATGAATTAATTTTTAGACCAGGTAAATTTCTACGGCGACGCGGCGCCCCTGAAAAGACATCGCGGCGCACCAGGGCGCGCGTGGCGCACAGTTTGGGAACCGCTGATATAAGGGATAGATTATGTAATATTTATAAAATATAAGTTCTTAAAAAATATTGAAGATTTTGGCACGATTTCTTATACACCGATGAACAAAGTCAATAGTTTTAATTTTTTATTATCATGTGTGTATAACATAAAAATGACTGTTTAAAAGGTTCTAGAACAAATTTTAATGAACTAGCCTTTTATATATTTTTTTAATAGTAGGTAGTATAAATTATATTTACCTTGTGGCATTTGCGATGGTATACATTAGCACATTTATCACATACACAAATATCATCTGGCATAGCCTCGATATTGCACACATTGCAAAATTGGGTAGTGGTACTTGTACATGTCATCCGTGTAACATTTTTTAAGAATACCCATTTTACTGTATTATCACCAAACTTAACTAAGCATTTAGATTCTTTATACCTCAACTAAAAGTAAAATAAAATATTAGTTAACAGAAAGTTTATAATTAATTGAAAAACATATAATTAAATATTATTTACTTTTGCTATAAATCCTAAATAAAATCGTTCATCATTTAGATGAACCAATACTTCTTCTCCACAAATATAACTCTTGTTTTCAACAGTCGTACTATCAGGAGTAGGGGCCTCGGGGCTCTCCCTTTTTATCTAAAAAATATAAAATATCAATGGTTAGACCAAAATCCATTTGACTCTTCAATAGATCTTATTATGTATAGTAAATTTAAAAAAGGATACTTGTGTATTTATCACTGAGTGTAGGAAAAATACCTTAATAGGTAAGTACCAAAGCTCCAACTGGGAATTTTGGGGACCCCTAAATTAAATTATAAATTCCAATTTTTTTTTTATTAGGTATTTTGTTGTTTTATATTCAATTTATATAGGTATTAAGATTGTAAATAAATTTTACCATATGTCTATAAGTAATTTTATTATTTAAATATTGATTGATATAAATAAATTGTATAATATAATTGTATTACAGTAATATATGGGGACTCTAATTATGTCGGGGCTGGGGGCTGCAACTCCCTAGCCCTCCTCCCCAGCTTTGTTTGGTACATATACATATTTAAATATATATTATTACTTATTAGTATTGGTGGAATTTTTATCCCATAAGTTACCTATTGAAAATGAAAAATTATTATATTTAGATAGGTGCAACATCTTATTTGAAAGATGGAAAAATATATATTTATGGTTTTGTTTGATTTTAATAAGTTCAAATATATATTTATGGTTTTGTTTGATTTTAATAAGTTCAAATAACCATAATTCAATCAATTGGTAACTAATAAAATAGCAAATTATCAAAAACCAATATATATATAAGCCAAATGTATTATCAATATAATTTATACTAAAAACGTTATAATAAACATAGGAAAATATAATAGGTATTGAATAATATTAACATATAAATGTCTAATATAATAGATCTTTTTTTATGCATTTAGATTTGATTTTTAAATAATTTTTAAAAACAACTTGAAAATGTTAAGACTTTCCTATTTTCAAGAAATATACATAATAGGTAGTTCAGTTATAATTGATTAATTGATAACATTTATGTTATTTTCAAAGATAGAAAGAAATTAATATTGAGAACCACTATTGAATCTAATTAAATTATTTAAAAGTTTAAAAAATATCAATAAATTTCTCACAGATTCCTTTTTGATCTGCAACATTTTGTCAGCTATCCATTATCGAATAATCCTGCAAATAATAGAATATTGTTAAAAACCATCAAATGGTATCAATTACCTATAAATAACAAGTACTTTCTAACTAGCCGATTGAGCAGTCTACCAGCCAGCTACAATAGATGTACAAAATAGTCAAACAATACATTCCACTCTGGACAAAGAACTACAACTTTTCTGTAGGTAGACTGTCAGACTGATAGGTAGTGAATAAAACGTCAAACACAAGACCAGCGATCTGAAGCCGCGGACAGGGTTGTCGTTACTCGTAATTCGCACAGCGTTTGACGTAAGGAAACTAGTGTCTGTACACACGGTCTCAAGTTTTCCAGCCGTAGGATACCTACGATTAGGCTGACTTTCTCACTCGCACACACTAAACACAAATACAAACACATACACATACACTCATGTACCTAGCTCAGACAACACATCCATACAAATATTTCACACACATTTCCACTTCGTACACAACATACTCGACTTCCCGTCCTCAGTGGGTAAACGATACGGACGACCGGCCGCCCGTCTCCGTCGCCAGAGCAAACCTTTTCACCGGTGTCCACGGCCGTCCACCGTTACCCCTGAGGCCCGAAAGCACGGGGACTGGACAAAGGCGTCCGGCGGAGACTCGCTACCTTCGACCTAGTCCAGGACACGCCGTGTCCCAACTCACCATAAACGCAAACGGCGACGACAACGACGACGACAACGGCAGCAGCGATCCAATTCCTCGACTTCTCGTCAACCTTTTGATTACATCTTCGATTGGACCGCGGCTGGGCTCGACGTCTGCGGTTGTGTTCATGGCCCCCGTCGGATCACTGAACTGCGGCCGCCCCGGGTGGCACCACTGCGCCGTCGCCGCCGCCGCCGCCGCCACCACCGCCACCTGCCGACCAGTGTTATCAGTCAGCCTTGGTCGGGTGGGCCGCCTCTGAAACTATTGTTTTTTCTTCGCCAAATGCCCAACAGAATAATATCAGACTGCATGCAATTTACAATGTTTTTTCTCAGTGTTTACGACATAATAACAATGTTGTCGCCTACCCACAGGTACCTACGTGGCTACGTGTATTTCTGCGCGTTGTGTACCATGTAATTGTCGCGATGTGTTGATATTTACGAAGACTGCACAGTGCACACGACTACACGAGACACGAGTACACGACTAATTATTCTAGATCTAGAACCATTTCAATAATAATAAATAATAATACTCGAAATAGATTACAGATAATTTACTAAATTAAATTGTTATCAACGTTGATTTAAATAAGTAGCGGCTATGTAGGACCGAATCAATCAGAATAAAAAATTATAATAATTATTTATATTATGTTAAAACCTTAGACACATCTGATCATACATTTTATCTTGGCCTTGAAAAAAATTGAAGGTACCTACATACTTATACGGGTATACCGCGACCTGCAAAAAAATGTTTTTTTAAAGCTTACACCCCATACAGTATAGGTACCGAAGTAGCATGATGGGCAGCTCAGTAAAAATGTTAAAGAAAATAATTTATAAATCTTCCAGGACTGCATTTTTGTCTATCTTATTATTTTAAATAAAAATAAATTATAACTTTATCATTTAAGATGATTTTCTTTCTTTGTCTAACACACTAACGCACTCGGGCGTACCTTGGTAGGTTCCTATATAAAGCCTCACAGGAGCTTAGATGTGTAGATTTTTTCCATTTCAATGTACCTAGTACCTACCAATAATGAAGTGATATGAATTCTGAAAACAATTTGAATTTGTCGTAAATACGCAAACACTCCTAATACAGTAATACCAAACCTCTACTAATTGAGATCGACTTTTCCTCACTCTTTTTATAAACATAAAGTAAACACAGTGCCACAGTGGTGTTTACGTAAAAAATCCACGAGGTATACGTTCATTTATGAATTTAAGGCAATGAATATTGTGGTTTTATAAACGAAAAACTAATAGATTCAACCCTTCAAAAAGCCGCACGCTTCGCTTTTACCGATTATATTTCATGAAAAAAGATGGTCATTCTTATTTATTAGCGGATCACGAACAATGGTTGACTAATTCGTGGTACTAATTAATGTTGATAATTATTATTTGTTACACGGTTTTATCATATAGATAATTATCGATAAATGTCATAGGACATAGATGATAAGAAATAAATAAATAAATAAATACAGATAACGGATTGCTTAATTTTAAAATCATATTATGCCGTAAGGGCCGTGTATTTCTTTTTAAATGTTAAGGTATACGGTCGTATATTTGCACTATTTTTACAGTATGTAGGTACGTAAATTCACTAAATAGTAAATGGGTATACGCCGTATACGGTTAACCCCATATAGCCTCCAAAACCGTAAACAGAAGAATTATGATTCTAATTTTGAAGCTAATTATAATGGAAATTGGATATTTATGCAGTTATACGTTATATAACTTACTGTAGTTTACAAAAACTAATGTATATTATACACTATACAGTATACTGTATACTATAGTGCAACGAAATTCCGTCGAAACGAGTCTTGAACGAGCTTCATATCTCAGCAGCTCCTATCTGACGGAATGCACACGGCTGATCGCTGATAGAACATCAGTTTTCAGAGGATAGCCATAAATCATAATATGCTGCATTGCCGCTGTCATCTATACCAGTGCTTCTCAAAATGTCTTTATACTACGATACCCTAATTATTTATATCCATTAAAATCCAACACACTTAAAATAATTAAGGGAGTTTTGAAAAAGTAACACTCACTTACCTAAATGTAATTTCTGAATGTGACTATCTTCACAATTGTTTTTTCTTATCTGTAGTTTTTACCATCATGACGTAACACCAAAATAATATAAATAACACCAAAATGTATACGTTGAACACGTTCAATATATTATTAAATAAAAAACATTTTTGACTATGCACATGTTGAAAACCACTGATCTATACTATATTCACAGGTGTCAGATTACTTGTAGCACATAAATGGCACTTTGCTCTAATTGTTAGTTTTGGGGGGGGGGGGTAACTTCCCCCGCTCATATGGAGACTTTGCTTATAATTTCTACTGTTGCAAACACATTTATTTACAATTTATTGTAAATAGTAAATACTTATAGTATTTATAAAATACATGATTCGCACTAGGTCTGAAAGAATAGCGATACAACTCCAAAAACACAACTGTTGGTAATCAGCTATTTAAGGATTAAAAAATACAAATCAAATTGTTATCACATTTTTATGCTGTTTTGATAGAAGTGTGTTAAATTACATTGTTTTTAAATATGCTTGGCAGATGTTGTAAATGGATGAATTATTATTATTATTATTATTAGCAAATATTTGAAAACATTTTGACTTATGTCACTGTTCGTGACTGAAATAATCATTTTTGTGTTGAAAGAATAGTGACACAACTCAAAACTGAGTATTAAATACAATTATGCCTACGTCAAATAAAATAATAAATTGTATTAATAATATTGTTTATAAAATAAACCCATTGTAACTTGTATTTATATTTTATAGCACAGTTATAATATTATTTATTATTTTTAAAACATGGACCTAACCTATTATAAAATGATGCCTCTAATAAAATGACGATCATCAAACAGTAGGAATTAAACAAAATTATTATTATGATAATAATAGAATATTTTACTGCTGGCTGGTGCTATTTAATATTTATTTAATTTTAATAATTTTATATTATTCACAACCATAAACATAGCGAGTAGGTAATACTAGGTATTCTACAAAAACTTAGTTTGTGTCTTTTGGCTAAAAATGAAATTGTATCAAGTCGGTCAAGAATAGTGTCACAACTCAAAATATAAAAACAATTTTGAGTTGTAATATTTTTCACTCGCGGATAAGTGATAAAAAAATTAAAAACGTTCAGCGAGAATTATAACATGTCAAAGGTTTTATGTCAGTTCAAGTGAAGTTACCAGATTTTGTAAATTTAACTAAAAAATAGACCAGAGCTATAAGTATTAGAATCAATCAAAACCCGAAAATCTAATTTTGAGTTATGTGTCACTATTATTTCAGTAGTGCGATGTGTATATTGTATGGGTTTACAATAACTAAGTAAACCTTTGTAAAAATAAAAAATGTGAAATAGTTAAGAGTCGTATAAAATGTATTAATTATATTATTGCATGTAGGTATTATCGTTATTTCGTAATACATTTATACTAAGTATTATTGAATTATATAATATGATGTATTCAAAATTTCAAACATAGGTATATAGTATATTATGTATACGTATACCTATAATCTATAGTGCTTGATTTGGAGTGACACAGGACCACAGGGTGGCTGAGTACTTCAATTAAATTTTCGGTAATTTTAGATTATTCCAATACCTATATTTATTTTTGAATTACGGCGGTAGTTTATTAAGGATTTTTCATATAGTTATTTCTTAATTAATTAGGTGTAATAACGTCATTGTAATACTAAATCAATCTACATACAGCAGTACCTATACTACACATGCGCGCTTTTCAAATAAAATAAATTTTTATAGATGTATGGAATAATAGAATCAGAATTGAGTACAATACGAATAAGTATTACCTTTTTTGAACAAGAGTGCAATTTGATTATTTGGTTTAGGTGAGGAGTGCAATTCGAAAATTCCCTATATTTTATAATACTTTCACCCAGGGAGATCACGATGTGTCAAGATATATATATATCTTAGTCCGTGGGTTTGGTTAGGTTATCATTCCACTTGGTATCAACATAGAACATTAATGTTCTATGGTATCAACGATAACAACAACGACAAATAATAATAATTATTGTTATTGTTGTATATAATATTTTTATCATTGATATCATTGTGACCGTTTGTTCAAAATTAATTAAAAAAACGCCAATACGTCCTTACATTTTATATTAAAAAATAAAAACCGTTTTGCGAGCGTAAAAAGTAAAAACCACTCAGTCTGTAATCCTAGCAGAAACACCAACTTTGAATACAATATAGAAGATAATAATATTTTTTGTGTCATAGCGTTTTTATTTGTTTGATATCATTAATAAGAAAAAGTTATTATAGTTTCAAAAATCAGATATTTTTACGTTTTATAAACTTAAATAACCAGAACAGATAAATTACCTGGTACCTACCTATACACTTAAATAGTTTATACATATATTATGTATTTTAATATAGTATACAAATTATACATACAGATCGATAGTTATGTTTGAAACAAAAAAATACCTTTGAGCAGTGAGTGGAAAATAAGGAAAATATAAGAAATTCTATTTTAGAGATTCCAAAACTTAAACGGTGTAAGATTCGGCGTTCATTAGTTCACCCTCTAATAATTTAATAGTATTTTGTCGTTTGCAGGTATCCATCCATTCACTAGCGTGACACTCAAATGTTGGAAAGAGTTCAATGTAAACTCTTACGTTTTGCATAATTTATCTCCAAAATATACTGCCCTTCTCATGACTATTCTTTTGTCCAAAAAGTATTACATATTCTATCTTCTATTTCAGATCAAAGACGAGGTACTATAATTTAATTAACTTTTCAAGAAAACTTCTGGCAGTTAGGGACTTAGGAGTTAGGGTTGATTCTTCTACATTGCTTTCTCATATTAATTTTAGAGTAACCCTCTCGCCAAACGAGAACCAATTTTCTTTTCTGTTTCCTTTTCCTCTGCCAACTATTTATATATCACTGTCCTAAGTCCTTCAGTCCTTCAGCCCCCTTTCTCTATTGACATATCGTAAGCAATTATTTTATTATTAGCATTTATTAGCTATAAGTTAGGTATATTCGCTTCTTATAATATATATTACCTATTCGTGTTTTATTGGACTTCGGCCTGTAAAATAATAATTAAAATTTATATAAAAACAATAATTTCCAGTATACCCATAAATAGTTAGTT